GAGGGACGGGGGCGAGTCGATCTAGGTCTCCTTTCAAGACCGACCTGGTTTCGATTTGCAGTTGTGTGAAGCCAGGCGGGAGGGCTTCCCACCCCACCCCCGAAGTAGCAGGGTTGTGTGTACCTACGTGTAACGGAAAACTGAAACAATCCAGATGTGGTGTGGGGGCCTAGACCCTTCCCCGGGAATTTCCCCTTCGTGCACGCCCTCCCTTCCTTTGGTCGCCCATCTTGGTGATCCTCTTGCCTCAGAAAGCAATGCTCAAGCCAAACCCTTATAAATAGAAATCTGGACCGCTTGGAGGGCAGTAGATGTGGGCTCCATCTGCTCCCTCCACGGTCCTCTCCTTTCTACTGATAGAAGCCGACCTGGCAACATCTGGGACTCTGATCCTCTCATCCATTGTTCTCAGAATGTAGCCCCTCACTGGAGACCTTGGCTACCTCGTTTTACAGCCTAAGACTCAGGTCATTTCTATCATGGTCACCCCTTACTTTGGGATATGTCAGACCCCAGTTCCCGTGACCTGAAACATCTTTGGACTCCTGAGAATGTGCTCAGCAGACCTCCAGTGTAGGCATGGGCATCACACACACACTGTGCACACACCATCTGAGCTGTCTGCAGTTTGGGCTCTAGGTCCCCAGCACTCTCTGCTCCCACAATTACCGCAGGCACAAGAGACTTCTAAAGAGTGCACGTCCTTCCACTAGGTAACTGCTAGAGTCAGCCCAGAACAGATACATTTCCCTCTCTTCCCTGTTGCCACTACACTTGGTGCCCAGCCAGAAGTGACCTGGAGATTTGGATGCTCCAGCCCCTTGATGTACAGATGGACAAAACAGAACACACAGAGCTTGTCTTCCAGGCTCTTGACCCTTGCGAATTGACTTTCGCTGTATGGGTACAGTAAAGAGGATTTGAGGGAACTTCCTTAGAGCTTCCCAAAGTTAAACTGGCAGACAGAAATGGGGCTGCCTTTCCCAGACTGCCCAGTCTGCCCTTGGGTAAAGGGTAGTTTTGGGGGAGGGAATTACAGATTTAGTGTCTACAAACAAGTCCCTTGAATTTTTCCTTTAAATATACTATGTTGTTGTATGGTCATATTTAAGTGCCATCTAGTCAGTTCCAACTCATAGATACACTGTATAGGATTTCTGTGACTGTGTATCTCCCTCCAATCGACTGGTGGCCTCAAACCACTGACCTTGTGGTTCACAGTCCAGTACTTATCAACTACAAAGCCATCACACCCCCTTTAAATATACTTTGTAATTGTTGTTAAGTGCCATTGAGTCAATTCTGACCCATAGGGTCAGGCTTCTGATGAGCTAGAACTGCTGATCTTGTGGTTTAAACCGACTTTGCAGTCCAGCACATTAATCCTCAGCACTACACCAGGAGTCCCTATGTATACAATGTTGTTGTTGTTAAGTACCGTGGAGTCAGTTCCGACTCATAGTGACCCTGCACAGGGTTTCCGAGGCTGTAAATCTTTACAGGAGCAGAAAGCCTCATCTTTCTCTGGCAGAGTGGCTGGTAGTTTCGAACTGCTGACCTTGAGGTTAGCAGCCTGATTCATAACCACTACGCTACCAGAGCTCATATATATACTATATATAGTATATAGAGCATTGTGCTGAGTCTGGTATATTTGAGTGTGTGTGCATTTGTGGAGTAAGATACCTTGTCTTTTAGAAAATTACTGGAAATGAGACTGGTATTTGTTTTTCATACTCTTTGCCACCCCTTTGCTTGTTCTATGGAAAAGAGAGTGGAGAATGCCTTTTCTTGTGGACTTTCTCTGACCCTGAGAAAAAACCACACACAGACACAAATGGCCTTAGAACAGATTATGACATTTTCCTACTGAAACGAATGGTTTCAGCCTACTCCAGCATGGATGTGAGATGTGAGCAGAGACTAGAGTTCTCCATTTCCCCACATCGCTACATCCACCCAACCTCAGGGAAAGATTTGGCTCCAAGTATGTGCTAGAATAGAATCCTTTTGAGACCTATGTGAGACAGGCACATTGAGGGACACCCTTGGTGACTTGCAACTAGAGTGAGGAAAGGCCACTGTCAGGGAAGGGTCTGTTTGGAAAGTTGGGGTGCAGAGGACTCTGGGAGTTCATCTGCAGGGGCCTTCAGAGGCTCAATGTCATCTCCCCAATAGTCCGTCTGCACAGCTAGAGAGGCATAGGTGTCGATGGTCACTCGGCATCCATCAGGGTGCGGCTGGGGGTGGGGGGCTGCAAGCAGTGGGGTGGAACTGGAGAGGCCGGGCAGGCGCAGGCAGAGCAGAAACCAAAGGTTTATCTGGGAATTGGAGAGGTGAAGTGGATCTCAAAAGTCCTCCGACCTGGGGCAAAGGGTGAGGGATGCAGAAGAGGTGAAGACGTGAGGACTCTGGTGACCACAGCTGGCCAAGCTCATAGAACCTGATGTGTGTGGAGTGAAACCAGCTAGGCCTGAAGGGAGAGACAGAGAGGAAACAGGCTGAGGCCTGGTCCTCTGTGACTGGGTGTAGCCATGCAGACAGTGTATAGAAGGTGGTGAATGTTGTCCGAGCCCGGGAGCATTTCGACTCTTTCATCCACCCAAAGTCCCCGTAAAGTGACATAGGTTGGGGCCACACTAGTGCACACACACACACACACACACACACACACACGCAGGCGCAATCCCAGAGCGCTGGGTCAGTGGTGCTATGCTATCTCTAAACCCCAGTCACCTTCTTAGCTACCTCTGGAGGAGTCCGACCAGTCACATGGAGGTGGGGGGAGGTGTTTCTGAGACACCTGGCCATGGGGGAGTGGACAGGTGGTCACTTCTCCTGCTGAATGTTGGGAGAGGGACTTCCTGTTATAACAGTCTTGACTTGAAGATAGCAAACCCTGGGGACCTTCAATAGTCAGCCTGTTGAGGAGAAAGCCCTCCCTCCTCTGGCTTTCAGCGTCTCTCATCTGGGCTTCTCTGACCATTGCCTCTTTCCAGAGCCCTGAGGTGGTCACACTCACTGTCTCAGGTCTGTGAGCATTGTGTTGAGTTCCTTCTACCTGGAATACCCCTCTCAGCATCTTTAGGCCTCAGCCAGACTCTCCACCCCACGCTGCTCTGCCCTTCTGCTCTGCCCCACCCCAGGCTGGCCTGAAGGCACTGCTTGAACCCTGACCTCCCACCACAGGTGTTGTTACCTTCTTTCTGCCCTAGGTGCTTTCTTCCTCTGGTCCCAGGACCCATGAGAGTGGGACCACCCCTGAGGGCAAGCACTAAGTCTCATATCACTTGATGCACCTTGAACTTTGGGGCTGCAGTGAACCACTGAGGCATAGAGCTTATCAGACAAGGCAGAGAGGTGTGAGGGCCCAGGGCTGATCTCTGAGACTTTTTGCTAATCTGCAACTGTCAAGGAAACAAGATGCAAATAAACCTATGAATCTGCCTCACACCCTATTTTCTCACCACCTCCACCCCACACATGCCATCTTGTGCTGCTCCCCAGACTCTGAGAAACCTCAACTGTCCCCGGAGTCCTTGGAGCAGCGGCCACAAGTCCCAACCAAGAAGTTGCGCAAGCCGCGGACTATCTATTCCAGTCTGCAGCTGCAGCACCTGAACCAGCGTTTCCAGCACACGCAGTACCTGGCGCTGCCCGAGAGGGCCCAGCTGGCCGCGGAGCTCGGCCTCACTCAGACCCAGGTGGGGCCAGCCCCCATCTCTCCTGTGTTCTAACCTTACCCATGTATTCTCTGTGTTCACTCCTCTAGCTGTGATGGCTGATGAGTCCCCTGGTCTTGTGATCAGGATACTCCAGTGGGTGTTTACAGCTGACCCTCAGTGTTTGGGAGCATGTGTTAAAAGCTGGGGCAGAGGAAGGAGATTTCAGTAGAGGTTGTTGTTAAGTGCCATCAAGTCGGTTCTGACTCATAGTGGTTTCCAAGGAGTGGCTGGTGGGTTTGAATCCCCGACTTTACGGTTCAAACAAACCTTGAGGTCAACTGCTTATCCTATGGCGCCACACTAGGACTCCTATTCTAAGGTTGTTGTTAAATGCCACTGAGTTGATTCCGACCCATAACGACCCTATGTAGGGTTTCCAAGGAGCAACTGGTGAGCTTGAACCACCGACCTTGCAGTTCAAACTGACTGACCTTGCAGTCCAGAACATTAACCCACAGCCCCAGGGTATACTAACTAGAGAGAACTGGATACTGGCCCTGGGAGGTGGGAATTCAGGGGACATCAGGGGCTGTGGAGGACTGGAACCCATGTTCCCAGCTTCCTCTTCTCAGGACTGCTTGCTACAGCTGGGTCCCTGCACCTCCACACATACACTCCTGACCTTCCGCTCTTTGCCCTTTTCTCTCCCCAGGTTAAGATCTGGTTTCAGAACAAGCGCTCCAAATACAAGAAACTCCTGAAGCAGAACTCTGGGGGGCAGGAAGGGGACTTCTCCAGGGGGCCCTCCTCCTTGTCTCCTTGCTCCCCACCCCTTCCATCCCTGTGGGATCTACCCAAGGCAGGGGCCCTGCCCACTGGTGGCTATGGCAACAGCTTTGGAGCCTGGTATCAGCATCACTCCCCAGATGTCCTGGCTACGCCTCAGATGATGTGAGTCTGGAAAGGGCGGGTCAGCCCCCAGCCCTCCTACAAAGCCCAGGACCCAGGCCACCTGCACCCCTTCTGGGTTAGGAGGAAACCAGCTCCAGATGGGTTTTCTGAGGACAAGGATCTAAAGGAGAAAAAAGCCTGGGGTGAGGAGTCCTGTCCCTCTTCCCCTCTAACCCAAACAGCTAACTCACTGCCTTCCACTACCACCATAGATAACCCCCCTTGAACTTGATAAAGACTCTGGAGAGAGTCTTTGGTTGGAGTTTAGACTGCCCCTAGGACTCCTGCAGGAGCTCTGGTAGCATAGTGGTTACGAGTTGGACTGCCACTCTCAAGGTCAGCAGTTTGAAACTACCAGCAGTTCCACGGGAGAAAGGAGAGGCTTTCTGCTCCTCCCGTAAAAGATTTACAGCCTCGGAAGCAGTATAGAGAAAGGGTTGCTATGAGTTGGAACCAACTCCACGGCATCCCTAACCCACCACCACCACCAGGAGCCCTGGGCTTGCTACTGCCCTGAAAAGTTGCAGCAAGAAATTGGCAGTGTTTTTTCTCTTTGTATGTTCTGGGAGTGCTGGGTGGCAGTTGAACAAGTCCAACCCATTTGTGAGCAAAGGATGAAGTGGGCATCTGGCATCTTCAACCTTGACGAGTATTGAATGCCATTGCTTGGGGACTAACCCATTACCTTCATAACTGAAACACCCTAGTCCTCATCCTTTGAGGTAAGGAGTAGTGAACAGACCTGTGGAACTTTACGCTCCTCTCCTAAAACAGCCCTTTTTTCCCTATGTCTGTCTACTTTGAGTTGATCACACACTGCCATCGATTGGATTCTGACATAGCAACCCTATCTAAGGTTTCTGAGGTGTAAATCTTTATGGGACCAGAAAGCTCATCTTTCTCCCATGGCGAAGCTGGTGGGTTTGGACCGCCAGCCTTGCAGTTAGCAGTCCAGTGCTAATAGTGGATCCAATGATTCATTCAGTTCAATGGTATTTATTGACAACCTGTTCCCTCCTAGTCCCTACCCTTAATACGTTGGTTTGAACCATGAGATAGGCAGTTGAAACTCACCAGCCACTCCTTGGAAACCCTAAACAGGGTCCCTATGAGTCGGAACCAGCTCGACAGTATTTAACAACAACACTTAACAAAGAAGCCCTGGTGGCGCAATGGTTAAGTGCTCAGCAGCTCACTAAAAGTTCTGTGGTTCTTCACCAGCTGCTCCATGAGTAAAAAGACATGGTAATTTGTTGTTGCTGTTTTACGGCCTCAGAAACCTTAGGGGGAGTTCTGCTCTCTCCCACAGGGTCACTGTGAGTTGGGATTGACTCAGTGGCATATGATAGCAATACTTAATAAGCCCCCATGCACACATACTCAGGAACTCAGTAGGTTAACACTTTGGAGGAAGTGGAGACAAATGGGTTCTCTGGATTAGTGAAGGTACAGACACCACGGGATAGTTGAAGGTAGGCTTGGCAATTCAGCCTCTATCACCCGGTGGGGCCAAAGGAACAAACTTCTCACATTTGTAAGGGTCCCTAGGGCCTGAGGGCTTTGGTTGACTGCTTTCTAGACAATCTGACAAGTATTCCCTAAACTCTCCCAATCCTCCACCCATGAGCTTCTAAGATTAAAGTTTGTATAAAAACTTAGCCCTGCCTGTGAAGTGTGTTTGTGTCTTGATTTCTCAGAGCTAGTTGCCCATCTCTCCCTTTTCTCTTCCTCTTTGTATTTGTATCTGACTCTTCCAAGAGGAGCACTGAACTAGGAATCAGGGGAACTGGATTCTAGTTTTACATCTGCCACTAACTAGCTCTATGTTTCTACCACTGGAATGTTCTAATAATTTCCACAGTTCTTGATCCTGGAAGATTCTACACTGGGAATGCCAAGGTTTGAGTGACCTTCACTAGCAGATTTTCTCCTAACTTAGTTCAGGAGGGAGCCAGGCAATTTATAACACCCCTATGCCTGCCTTTAGCCCAGGGGGAGTCTCTGTTCATTTTGGGAAAGGACATGGCCACTGAGTCAGGCAAATCCTGTCTTGGGAGAAGTTTGCTGCTTGGGGGTAGGTCCCACCAAGGGAAAGGGGAGCTCATGACTTAATGGGGAGCCAAAGGACCCCATGCTTGTATGGTAAGTGCCAGCCAGGAAGCCCAGGGGACAGTAGGGGCCTAGTCAAAGAGTTAGTTCCCATTCATCTTGGGCTGATGGGTGAATAATGCCAAGAGAGAAGGGTCCATGGGGAGCAGCTGGACCCAACAATGGAGCCAAAACCATTGCACTCTACCACACAAATGCAGTGTCCCAGGACTCAGGGAAGCTAGAGGTGGGGTGAGAACACAGAGCTCCCAAGTGGAGCTTAAATCTGTTCCCAGGTAACTGTACACTTGGCCTGGCCGTATCCCAGTCTGCAAAGCCCACACAGACACTTGTAACAACCTTGGTTGGTCAAAGAGGAGTCTGACCTGGGGTCATAATGTAGGACAAAAGAGTAACGTACAGAGAAGCCCCCATCTCATCTCTCCTTGGCTTCCAATTCTGATTGATTCCACTCTGTGAAATATACTTGGAGGGTTTTTTGAGGATGGCAAATGGCACAGGGTGGGCCACAGCCAAGACCCAGGAGCAGGGAGGCTGATAGGAGAAATATCTTGCCCACCCCTTTGCCAGCACCTACCCCTGTCTAGCTCCGGGAGCTGCTCCAAGGCCACGGGCCTCAGGGCAGCCGATCCTTCCCTCTGCAGGTTGCACACTCTTCTTTCCACAGACCTGAGATAAGATCTACCGCCCCATCTCGGAAAGCCTCCAAAGGCGAGATTAATTGGACAGCCCAACACGAGTCGCATCGTTAAAACAACAACCGGGGTTGTAAAGTTAAGTAGCAGAAGTATAATTATTCTCACAGCCAGAGGCCAGCTGAGCGACAGCACCCGCGCCCCCCACCCCCATCCTTTCCCAGGAAACAGGAAACCCTTTCCACTTGGGAGCTGGTCCAGGGACCCTACTGTAGGAGGTGCTTGGTTTCCTCCCTCAACCAATCTGGGCGGTGGGGAACTCTATGGTGTTTTATCATGAGGACACTTCTCTGAGGAGATGGGCTCACACAAGGGACCAACTGGAACGGAGCCTTCCAAAGAGTCCCAGCATTGCCACTTGATTTTGGAAACCTTATCTCACCTGTCTTTGAGCCTCATTTTCTCTCCTAACTTGGGAATACTGACAGAAACTACTTCACATTATGGTTCTGATGATAAAATGAGATAGTGCTTGTAACATGCTTGACACAGTGCCTGGAACATAGTAAGTACTTAGTAAATGGCATTTATAGGTACTGTTATGATTATCAGGGAGGGGAGGGGAAGGGTCATGACCAGGGTAAATTCAGTCTGCCATTCATCCACCTCTTGCCTCAGGCAGATCTGCTTCCTGGGACTATGAGGGGGTATTGGGGTGGAGATGGGAGGACTTAAACTCAATACTGGTCACCCTCATATGAGAGCAGGACACAGACAAGGTTTTAAATGCAAAAGAGCAGGCAGCACCGGACATCTGAAATCAGCTGGGACTGCAAGGGAGGGATAGGGGGTACAGGGTCCACCTACCAGGGTCCTGGGCGCGGGGCAGTCAGCTCGGAGTGTCCCTTCCCCTCTGAGTTACTCCTCTTCCCTTTCCCCATTTGCTATTTTAAGACATGCCCCCCATTTTCTCCCTCAACAAAATGAGATTTAATTAATTCAATTAAAGCAATTTTGGGAGTAGCTCCTGATGGTTCGCAATGTGAGATAATTACAAGTAATTTGCTGCTGCGCAAAGGAAAAAGGGCATGTGGGGTCTCAGGGGCAGCAGGCAGCCCCCTCCTCACCAAAGGTACACAGATCGAGAGGGATTCCAAATTGTGATCTTAACTGCCCTCCTATTGGCCAAATTACTTGCAGGTGGGAAGAGGAATGGTGTGATGGTGAGAGGGTGGGAAAACACACAGTGGCAGGCCGCCCTTCCCCCGCCCCCAAATCTGCTGTGTGAGGTGGGGGTGGGGAGTTGGTTGCTCCCCAGCAAAATGTCTGTGTAGCCCTAGTCACTGATTACTCAGCTCTAAACCTCATTTGCTTTTGGATGCCTGAACTTGCCTCTGGGATTGTCAATGGAATGTTATCCGGGTAGCTGAGACCTGTGTAGATGAGGCCTTGGAGATCAAGGACTTCCCCAATATTTATAAAGGATGTGGAGACAGAGGAAAGACCAGAGAAGGTGAACACTGACTTCCTGCTCCCAAGGGAGGTGATGACCCACCAAAGCTCTTGTCTCCTTCCAGTTCTGCCTGGAGTCTAATCTCAATCCCTTCCACTCTAGTGGTACCAAATCTCTTCTCTAACCTCCCTGTCCTTGTTGTTAAGTATCATCGATCTGGTTCCAACTCATAGCGACCTTGTATAGGGTTTCCAAGAAGCAGCTGGTAGATTTGAACTGCCTTCTGACCCTGTGGTTTGCAATCCAGTACTGATCCTACAGTGCCACACCAGGAGTCACTGAAGCCTCTTCCTTCCCTGCAGGTACTTCCCACCTGCACCTCACCTGAGCAAATCCTTTCCTTGCCAGGACTCATTCCTGTGTGTGTGTGTGTGTGTGTGTGTGTCTGGGGGGGTGGGGAGGCAGGGGGCGGGCATGGAGGCAGGAGGAGGAATTGGTGGCGTTGAAAGGGGACTAGAGTTCCAAGAAGTGAGAGACATGAGGCAGGGGCTGAGGCCAAGGTCAAGGTGTGGGCCTGGGGCTTTAGTTCTCTATGAAGACCACTCTAAAGTCTGCTCCACAGTAGTTGGATTTCAAGGGACTAGTGCTACCACTTTCCCTGGGATCCCTTGTTCGAGGAGGTACATAATGTTTTAATAATTATGATGAATTAAGAAAAAGTGACTCTAAACTATTTCTCTTTATGTCTCCCCCTTTCTCCCATCTCTCCCATTCCTCAAGGAGGGGTTCTTTCAGCTCTAGTTTCTCCCTTCCCTGAGCAGCATGGCTGCTGGGCCTGAGAGAAATTCCGTCTTGGAGTTCCTAGGTGACTGCTGTTTCTCCCCTTTGGAAACGAAAATGTGTAGCAAAGAAAAGTGGGTGACTCTTTGTGCCTCCTCTTCCCCCTTTCCTGGCCAGCTCAGATTGATTAAGAAAGAGGGAAGAAAGACCCCC